GATTTATTCCATATGAAAGAACGAATTTATCAGCATTCAAGCTCACTGTGCATAGGAATAGTTATGCTAAGCGCTCACTATGCTATGAAAATGTTAACGACACTATTCAACTAACTAGTTTTCTATAGAAATTGACTGAAACCACACACCCAGTTACTAAGGCCTGGTTACCTTGATCAATGAACACAGTTTCCACAAACATTACCATAACAATTTCATTTATAATGCAAAACAAAAAAAACTTTGGTACTATAAAAATAACTGTTATATGCCTTTATTTTATTAACAGATAATTTTAAGGAAACTTCAGTAAGCTTTATCACAAATATGTTTTAGATGGTGATAAAGAATTTCAAACAACGAAATAATCAGTACCTAAATCAGATATTAATAATTATGTAGTCTCTATTAGTCAGTATTTTTTGATAAACCAAACACGTCCAACTATTAAAATGCTCTCACAAATACTATGACACGTAGGCATATATCAGTAGTTAGCATTGAAATAAATTCTAATTAGTCACAAAGAATAATTAAGCGATAGTGCTAAAATTGTAAGCATTGATGGGGACCAGAAGGTTCACAGATTTAGTATTTTAACTAGATAGCTCCAATTGTAATAATATTAAGCTGACATCCCAGAGATGTAGAACTTGTATGGAAAAACCTGACTGAAAAATGAACAATAGAATTGTGATAGAGTAAACAATTAGAAACGTAACTAAGAATTACTGGGTATTTGAGAAGTACGGTGTATTTGTAAGAGTGAATCAAGTAACTAGCTGTATTAGGACGGGGAAAGCATAAACTTAAACCGAGTTTCATAATCAATATTAAAAGATGCACGAATTTTTTAAAATCTTAATGGTGGAAACATTGAAAAAATTTATTCACAAATTAAGATTTTCCAATCATCTATGCATTTTGAATGAAATCCCAAAAGCATAGCATAATAAGTAAACGCTATTTAGAATGTTACAATCAAACGATAAAGAGGATACTTTAAGTCTTAATATACATATGACCAGTGACATGACCACTTAGGTCAGTTAAACATGACCTACCCTAATAATACTGATCTAATATTCAGCGTGGTGAGTTTCAAATCGTTCCTCACTTTACTTTCTTTCTTATCTTCTTTTCCTCTTACATCCCATTTGTCTAGTTGACCTTTTATTTTTCACAAATAACAAGAATATGTGATATAATTGTTTCAAATGTATTGCGCTAAAAAATCACAGTTCTGATAACCTTTGTTTTTTTTTTTTTTGATTGTCCAAAATATGGTGTGATCAACTTTCTGCTGAAGGCGATGAGTTGGACTAATTACTAGATTATAATCTATAAATGATCTATACTCAAATAGATTTTATCGGTCATTCAATTTACTAATTCAGTATGACTTTAAAAACCTGTACAATCAGTCTATTGAACAACATTTAACTATATGTTAACACCTGAAGATAGAACGAACATTTACAGTACTTTGTCAGCAATATGTGACAAAAAGTTCACTCATTAGGTGTCGAAATGGGATATTATAGTAGATATAGTACAAGCAAAACCTGTGCTTTATATAGTTAACCTTGATGAATGACAAATCTAATTTAACATAGTTTCATTTGAGCCATGAATATTGAACATGGCAAACAAAAGCCCATTATGATGGAAAATATTAAATAAAAACAGAAAAACGTATACAACTGATAAACTTTCAGTAAGGAGTATTTTATTTCCTTACAAACATTTCTGTATGAAACTCCTTGTATTATCCCTCTCAAAGATAACCATGGTCTACATTATATTGATTGTAGACTTGAAATAATATCAACATGTTTAGTTCAACACAAATGAGATTTATTTAGTGGTCGATTGTATGTCATTCTGGAGAGGATAATGACAATTAGATCGAAGTCATTGGACCACAAAATCAATATAAAACAGAGCGTTTTTTCTTATTGTTTATTAATTTATCAAATGGTAAATTAGTTACAAACTGTTCATGTTGAATGCCAGAAATAATATAAGAATTAACTGTTTATATCATAAATAAGACAAATCAAATATTGAGTACACATTATCACTATTCCAGTAGTAAATAATAATCGTAACTGAATGTAAGAAATTTTTAGAAATTAATCAGTTTCCATTTTTCTATGCCAATTGACATAAGAGATTATATCAAAAATAAACTAATTCAATGTTATATATGATCTCACAGTATTTTTCTGAAGGTATTTCATTAGAATACCATACAAATTTAAAAGTTTGCACTGAAAGAAAACTATTCATGTTTTGGTGTAAAAACTATCATCAAATGGCTCTACATATGAAAGTATTAGCCTATATGGGAGTAGATAATATTTGATTAACACGTTTATCTATATTCCCAATGTGTTACATTGATTGTATGTGCTGTTAAATTACCAAAACCTACATCAAATAAAACTTCACACAGTGGAATGCTTATAATGTTTTACACCTTTTCTCAGTAGGAAATGATAAAATATATATCATATGATTTACAAAACAGATCATTTGTAGACAGAATAAGCTGACTGATCATATTTTCAGGTTATCTTGTTTATAGTCATCAATGTTCTATATACTTGTTCTTAACTCAGTTCAAACATATTTAACAACTCACCGCAACAAATCTTAACAGGATTGTTGAGAGCGAAATGATCATTTCAAAATTAAATGTTTAAAGTTAGAAAATCACGTTGTCGTATTTTAATTTTCATTACATTCAATACCAAACAGTGGCTATTAAGTTTATGATGTAGAAATATGATCTATATTAATTAAAAGATGTAAAAGGTGACTTTCAGAAAAAGATAATGTAATATATATGTTGATCTGTATGGGAACTATTATTATCGATAAATATAACTATCCAGATGGGCTGATGAAAGAAAAACAAATAGATTTTAATCCCTTACACTAATTTATGGTAAAAGATTTTTCACTGTATCCTTAAATCATTAGTATTAATTAAGTGTTCGTTGAAGCATGAACCTTCTTCGAAATTTGCAAGAGATCGTTGATATAAAACATGGTGGTTTATTTGCAATCCATTCTGAAAACATTAGTTACTATTTCATGTAAACAGAAATGATATTTACTGTTACACTATCTAACTACTTTAAATATACAAATACAAACGTTTGAAATTCTTTGAATTATTATCACAAATTAGTTTAATCATAATACTAATAATATTGAGAAATATAGCGAGTGCATAAATATTGAACTGTATAACAGTGTCCCGCAGTCGTTTAAATTATTTTGGCCTATGGTAAATTATACTGTCTTTTAATCTGATTTGTAAAATTGTGCGTATCTAGCCATATATTCTATCAAATAAAGTTAGGTTTACAACGAGATGAGTAACAAAGCAATACTAAAATTATTCTGGAAGTTTATATTTTTCCTATTATCGGTGACAGAAAAATGATTGAAGGTTAATTCACACAAATATTTGTTGGAATCTGATATGATGGAACGAAAAATCAATTTTCGATTGATTTGCTTATTATGAGTTTTATTCAACATTAATTTCATTTTAATTTAATATAATGACTACTCAATGTAATATTCGATTTTCTTTTCTCGTATGATTTTTTATTATGTAATAATATACAATATTCTTGTATTCTATTGACATGAACTATACTCAGTATGTGAATTGTTATAACTTTAAGTATTTTTCATATATGTGAATTACATTCTAATTATTAATCAAAATGGGTGTATTAATCAATGTATAAATGAGTGTATTTTCGACTATTTTGATCATCGTCATCGTCGTCGTGTTTTGGGTGTTAATAAAGCTTCACTTATACCAGTCTTTGTGTTCTTACTTCGCATCGTGGGAATTGCAGAGGTCCCTCGTTCCGAATGTAAGTGATAAGCATTTCCGACATAACAATCAGCGACGACCAGATACAAAAAGTAACATTAAAAAAGCCAAGACATTAAGCATTCAAACGACAAGTTATAACAGTATCTTGCTATTATTTTCGTTGAGTGCGTTTAAGTGGATTTAAAGTTATTCTTGGAAAATCCATAAGGTAACCACTTTGTATAAGTGTACTTTCATTTACCAATATTCCAAAAATTATAAGCCACTGCTTTTTTCAACAGAAAATTTCATATATTATTTTAGGAAAGAGACATTTTCAGTGAATCCATTGACTTAATGTGTTTTGTTCAGAATTAGGGTAAGGGGACTCAGACGACTTAACTTCACAACATCCTTTGAAACACCTTACACTACCTTCAATTTTATTCGGTTATCTGAAGATCAAACAGTATAATTTAGGTCAGACTCTGTCTTCCTATTATCATCTTTGGCTAGTCATATCAAAGTTACTTAGAGGATATCTTTTCAGAAAATTGTATCCTTAACCTTTCATTTCAGTTCTTAGGGAAGAATTAAATATTAGACTGTCCTTACTATCATGATCGTTTCTTGTACACAAAGAAATGAACTTTCATTTATGCTTCCCTTTGTTACCCTGAAACTATAATATTCATACGGTGTTACATATTTGTAGGAAATAGTTTTAAATCGTGACATGAATACATGCTTCTAGTTAAATTAAGGCTACTACTTGTCTTACAATGATGTTCTAAGATAGAGGTATACGAGAACTCAGGTGGAGATAATTAAATTATTGTTTAAGGTAAAATTACGAATTGTCTTCGTAAAATATGAAAAACATACATTAAATATATTATTTGCACATCTTTCATCAGTTGTTTCTTACAAACTCCATCGTTTATTCATTCTTTTTGTTTTCAATTCGATCTTCTCAATCTCCTACTGGCAGGCATTCCACTTCTGATTGGTGTTACATACTACTTATATCTGTCAACCATACACCATCTAAGCTTGGTTCATATAGTACTTAGATCTGAACACCTAATATGCAGGGTTATGATATGGAGCACTCATAAAACGCAAGAAAATTCATTAACAAAACATTTTTATTTTGATCGTTTTTTTACCTCACAAAAAGATTTCCAGATTTGAATATACGAATATTTTGGAGTAAAATAGTCAGCAAAAAAGAATGAAGTACATTGAAATAAAAAAAATTCTGAAAGTAATTGTTTATTTGCTGCATTATGCGTACTAATGATTTCAAGATAAAAATCACCGCTAAAAATAACTATTATAAATAAAAGCAAAGAAAGAAACAGGGGTTTTGAATGTTTCATTTTCATAAGTGTTAAAAATAAGTAGTATTTATTGGTTCTGTCTAGTTCATAAATCTTCACTTGTGTTAACTGTTAGTTGATTAGATACTCGACTGGATAAACATTGATTTGAAAACCAATTCATGAAACGTAAACGTCTAGGTAAATTTCTGTCATCAAGCCATATGGCTAAGGCAAAAGCTGAAATAAAATATATAGAAAATGTGATATATAGCCATATATGTAAATAAATTATTTTAGCTACTAATTAACAAATAGAAATTAATGGCGCTGAAATCCTATTTGATAATCTGATGTTAAACTCTTTATTTAGTTTTAACAAAAAAACTGTTCCTTTACAGATATGGCATAGAAACTATTCATTAGTACATACATATATGTTGATTTCAACTAACAATAACGTTATGAAATTGTAATTTATCACAGTATTTTAGTACAATTCACGAAGAATAAGTCAGAATATTTCACAAATGATATTCGGTAAGTGAAACAACTTTGTAAGGTGTTTAATAATTCTGGACTTTTGCTTCGTTAAACTAATGCTTGTATTCAACCGGTGTTAAACATTAAACATAATATCTGCTTCGTTACGTTCCATAGATCACTCTAAACAAATTTGATATCAGTATTCGTTTGCTGTAAAATTTCATAACAAATTAACATGTTCACAATCCTTAAAAATTAAAAAAAATATTTCAATTTGAATAGTCAGCCAACTAATGAAATCATATTTCATAATAAAATCGCTATATAATGGCAGGAAAATTATCCTGTCTATTGTAAAATAAACCAGATCACCAGACTAATCACTTTTGATCTTATACAATAATTTTAGTTTTGATTATCTTATTTTTACGTAATTCACATTTTTCTCATATAAAATATGAAAAGAGACGGTACAATACATAGATATATTAAAACATAGATGTTATTTTCCATTATTAACAATTATTTAATTAACGTTCAACATGTGCAATAAATCAGTCGATTTTATTTCCTGACTGTTAATCACTTAATCACATTTTATTGTTTCATATCATTAACCAATGAGCATCTTATCAACTATTCTAATTATAAAGACTTAAATTGTAGTAAGTAATTGATAAAACAGTTGATTTAACTGAAAAAATTTAAAATAATCAAATATTAAATTCTGTTTTATGTGTAATCGAGCCCAAAAATCTTCTTTATCTTTAGTTTTGTTGAAGCTAGTTAAATGACAACTATTTTTTTCCGGTGAAAATATTGCTTGAAAACCATTAAAAATTAACCAGCACCGAACAGGCGTTTCATCCAGTATGAACTACTCACGGAGTTGAAATCGTCATCACCAGATTATGTTGCCATTACGATATTTTTGGACCACTAACTGATAAATAATAAAGATTCAGGGTTTAATGAAACATACGGTTAAAGGGCCGCAATCTGGTTTTAGACATCTAAGGCAACCTGATTTTATGATGATTCTCCATCTGATATAACCTTGTGGCCAAAATGACCTAATTATATAAATCTCAACACTGAAAATTTTAGAGAATTTATTGATCAGTTTAATGATTTGAGCTTCGTTGAGTATTTCTATCATGAAGTTTAAAATTTGACATTTCTATGATTGCAAAATATATCACTTACTAGCTAAGCATACACATCCAGAAACGGTAAAGTAGATTTCAGGAGATGCTTCCCAGAAAAGACTCATCACAAGAGAAAGTACTGATCCAAATGACTTGTTTGAAACACCAAAATGTCATAAAAACAAACGGATCATAAATAAATGGTAATTTAATTGTCTTTTAAGATGAATTTTTGTTAACAGATCTCCTTATAAATCAAATTATTACGGGTCTCTGTTTAAAAAAATAAATGGGTATTAGAACCCACAAACAATTTATGGTTAAATTGAGTAGGCTTTGTGAAATAATAACATTGAATGAACATTGATAAAAGCATTGAATGTACGGTTTTTCATTCGCATGGTAAACTTATCTCGACTGTTACGGCTGGTTGAGATCACTTTTATTTGAGAATTCTATCACTGTTCTCTGAAAACCGATGATTTGTCTTTGCATCTATCTGATATGACCAGACTTTGAACCGTGAATAGTAGTAATTCAGCTTACGTTTTTAATAGGTATTGTGTATAATGACAGTTTGAATAATGAAATATGTTGTCATAAATTGCATAAATTTACTCGTGATATCTGAGTCGGTTCTTACAAATTATTTTACCTCAAAATAATGTTTCGATAACCACATTTAAGTTTGGCGTCAATGCACTAGTCATAAGTCTTAAAAAGACTTTCCATCAATGTATTTGAACGTTTATCTGGGGCGTTCTCAATTTTGTGTTTGGTTAGCAATTTAATATTAACCAGTGAAGTTTATTCGATACATGACCAATGTTATTCACTTTTTTTGTAAAATCACTTTACATTTTTAACACACACACTGTTGTAGATAATACACATCCACAAAAATGTTATGTCATCATGTATCGGCAAAACTTAATAGTATTACTGTTTAGTTTTACAGTTCAAGGTTGACCAAAATGATGAAATGTCTTTACAAAGAATTAAAAACAAAAGGTGTAGTATTTGAACTTAATGATTATTAAATAGGCCAACTATTGGTTAATCAAACTTACAAATCCGAGATAAACCATTCCATAGTTGACAGCTAAATTTACTGGACCAAATATAGTCCCTGTTGCAGCTGGCATCATGGAAAAAACACCAGACAAGAAGAAAAATAAGGCACATGCCCATATAACATATAAGACTTTCAATGCGACTCCCGTTACATATGCAATAACAGGAAACGTAAATAATAACACACTCCATATACACAGTTGTATGCAGATTGGTATCTAAAATTTACAAATCAACATAATTAAGGTAGTTCTAACAGCAATGTTCTTAGTATATTTAACTAGTATTTTAGCCCATTCACAATTAAAAATCATTTTATTTATAATCAAAATAGTCTATTCAGTATTTGCTTGTGTTAACGACGATCTTAAGGCCATCAGTGTATGTACATTTCATCAATTGTTAGTGATTGTTCAGCTGACATCAATGGATCAGCAAACAAACTTACATAACATCATATATTTTAAAATCATTTTTCGGAAATATATATATATCATCGCTATAAAAAGACCTATCTGTATCTGGGTGTTTAATTGAGCTGTATTTAATTTTTCATTAAATTTTGATTGGATATACAGATATATGCCATACGCGTGAAATCGAAATTCCTAACAAATTTATAGAGTATATACTTAGATGGAATTTATTAATCATCAGAAAAAAGTAAACCATTTCCCAAGTAACAGCAAATTTTGAATACACGCTTGTCTAGAATAAAACTGAAATTACGCTCCTAATCATTTTCTTTTTCATGAAAGAATTGTCAACAAAATATAAAGTTACTAAACGTAGTTTTATTACTTTGGATGCTAATCAAGAAGAAAAGCCATCAAAAGTTGTTTTCATACGGATAAGTGATGAAGTTTAAAATCACCTTGAAAGAAAAACGATCCACGACAGCACCCCAGACTACACGTCCACCACAGTTGAAAAGGGAAGTAACAGCTGTTATAGTTGATAAAAACCTATCATCACTTATATGCGTTTGTCCAAAGATCTAAATTTAATCAAGAGTAAAGCAAGTGAAATTAAAATAGTTAAACTTAGTATAAATATTGTTTTAAATATTCACATTAACACTAGCATATTTGGTATACTCTCACACCTAAATGATCATATTTATTATTTTTTTAATGTAGAGGCTTAGATGCCAACTCACATGTCTGAAAATGACCCCTGATCCATTAGCTCTAAAGCTCTCAGGTTCTATTCATATTATCGTGGGTGTGAATTGCTGATGAGTCTTATATTACTACCAAATAATAAACAAATGCTCCTTAATCTTCGATGGTAGTCTAGCTAAAATTAGTCTGTGATAGATGTTACAAAATAATGTCTTGTTGAGTTGTGGTTTAATGTACAGTTTCAGATAATCAACCACTCACCTTTAATGAACTTGTAAGAACAGATATTGGAAAACAGTTAAGAAGCATCATAAAAAATAAAAGATAGTAGTCGATATGACGTAAAAGCTTTCCAGATTTAACGTTTACTTCCACCACAGTGTTACGATTGAACTAATAAGAAAACATAACAAAGGAAATCAAATTGTTAGTACATTAACAACCGTTGTTTACCTGTGGTTTCAGAAGGAAAACACAGGAATATATGGAAAAACAATAAACACTTATCTACATATTTTTAGGATCCGTGTAATTTTGACTGTTTGGAAGAATTATATCAAAAACAATAAATGTAAAAATAAAATGTCCTCAGATAATGTAGTTAGTAAATCAAAACAGAGAAAACATGAACAAATAGTTCAATGAATTTGTTGAATTTACTAGCGAGTAAGTAAATGATAAGTTGTTATAAGACAAATTCATTTTAACGACGAAACTAAACAAACCAAGGTAAATGGATAACGGTGAGTAACTATTTTTCTAAACGTTTTAAAGTTTAGCGTTTTTCAAAAACATCAAAATTAAAATGACATTAGTTTTTTAAAAGATCGATGTCATCGTAGCATTTAGATAAATCAATTAATTCAATATTGTGACTTAACTGGTCTGATTATGAAACGTTTCATTTTTTTGGTATATAACTAGTTTGTGATGACTGTAAATGATTAATGAACTCCATTATTCAAGAGTTCAGACAATTTTCATAGTATGACTTGACATTTATCATTCTTGTCATCCCAATGACATGAAGTTGATTTTTTAACCAAACATACAAAGAGTCCATATTATGATCATGATTACCAGACTAAGGAATTTAATTCCTTTATTATATTATAGAATTATATTATGCAAAGATTCGACTTATATATATATATATATATATATATATATATATATATATATATATATATATATATATATATATATATATATATAAAGTCGAAACTTTGCATCTACAACTGTAATCATTATTCACTGTGATATTTACAATTGATCAATCAAATCTTTCAAGTATGAAAATACAAAACTACATACTTTTACAATATTTTCGAATGTTCACTCGTATTATTGATAGTATTTTATTTGGATATCCTGTTTACAACTTCATCACAGGTTGCGATTGATGTTTTTGGTAGTATAAGAGTGTAAAGGATTATCAGGCAGATGAAGCAGGCACTTCTGCCACACGTTTTATACTGTTGAAGATTTTAGGCAGTTCATTTATGCATAATTATGGTATATTTAGTCTTATTGATAACTTTTATTTAGTTGAGTAATAACATTACGCACGTTTCCCTCAAAGACGTAACTATATACGTGTGATATATATCACGGATTATTTCGGTTAATATACTTAAACATACCATGTTACACTCGTTTATAAATATTATTAAAAAATAATTTTATTAAAAGCAAAGGGTTAACTGATCTTACATACATTCAACTTGTCAATGACAATCTTACTTTCGAATCACCATTTACTAGTTTCTTCTTTTTTGAATCTGTAGATGGACTATTTTGAATTCTTGCACGTTCTAATCGTTCTTCTTCTTCTTCTTCTTCTTCATTTCCATCCTCATGTTCCTAAAACAATATAAAATACCGTAAATTGTTAGATGACCATTTAACATTGGCACTCTAAGCCACGGGGACTGTTATATCCATATGCATGAATGTGTTGTATATTATACTAAGTATAACCTATTGGTTATGAAAGTTCATTTTATGAAATATACATAAACCGGAATCATTATCAAGAAAATAATATTTTAGAAAACTTGTACCTGAAATCATTTAAATAAAGCTGAAACGGTACTTAGCTTTGTCCTTAAAGAACAAGTCATTTAACACATATTTTAACGTAATAGATTACTCATGATTTGCTACTTTTTCACACAGGTTAGACGCACTAGCAAATTTATTTATTGGTGCCGCTTAAAAATTTAAAACTTTCATAGAACAACTAATATACTACCCTAATTTCATCAAATGTATTTTCCGATTGATACTACAGGTATTCATGAGGCTAGAAGTCTAAAATATGACAAAACATCTACCCATCATTATCTTAGCTATCTTACTCCATATTTATGAAAACAGAGTTATATATGAAGTAACTGTTAAACCACTAACATTATTGCCATCTATTTTTTGATGCATTTAGTTTTTGAGGATCTGAACATGTTCATATATGATTATTATGAACACCACATAAAATCTGTTACGTTAGACATCGATCCCCAAATTTTCGGAAGAAATAGACTAGCTTTAACGTTTTTCCTCTATAGTGTTTAATATTGATTTAATGATTAAAACTTACTAACCCTGTTCTGAAGAATCATTATTATTTAAAGACATTTTATATTATAATAAACTAAACTATATAAGATTAATAACTTATCATCGTTATAATCAAACACAATAAATCACTCAAAGTTGACGGCAATCCTTGAACAGTTCTAAATGATCGCTCATTTTAGCCATAAACCTTCACATAAAATAATTTGACATCTATGAGATTTGCAAGAAACCCTTTGTTTGTGATCAATAACTACCGTCTTGAACAATGTCTGGAAATATGGGCATGTATTAAGCCAATATCTGAAATTCCTCCATAAAATCCAAGTTAATTTATTAAAACTGTAGCTCTGATGAAAAAAAGTAGTGACAAGTATGCCGTTTTACAGGATTTGTGACAGTCAGGTGTGATATCAAGTACTTAATATCTCACTTCCCGGTTTTCCAGGAAAACCTACACTTTCGGTACAATGAAGTGACGAAGTCTCAGTTTAGTTATCGACAATCTAGAACAAGTTCCATTCTATAAGTGAAAGAATTGCTAGCGATTAACAAAGCTCCATAGTTTGGCGATTTTCTCAGGTTTTGTGTCGAATAATTTACTTAAGGTTGGATGGTCTGTTTACAAAAATAACATTAGAAATGAGTGTCCAAGATTTTAAAGCGTAGATGTCTCCATAGCTCTCAAATACTTCTTACAACAGAGGTTAAAAGTTCAGAATGTAAAGAAACAAAGCTGTAGTAAAGGATCGTGTTAGCTCTCAAACATGCACAACTGAAATGTACCTATTTAAGAAGTTGTATGCAAGTTCGTAAATTAGACAGGATCATATTTACCTCAAGATATTGTCTTCAAGATCTAGTGAACCTTCTAGTTCATTCCAATCAAGTATTTTCCCTCTTTGTATATATATTGTAATATGCTCTGTTAATATCGGAATGTATTTCTAAGATATAATATATTGTGAACGTTGACAGAATTAACTTTGATACTTAACGTTTTCATAACTTTGACCTGATACTATGATAGAAAGGTACTCCTACACGAGTAAAATAACAAAGTATCTCCAACAATATTATCTACTGTATAATGAAGTGGGTTATGAGTTTAACATCCAACTTTTGATTTCCTGTTCCGAAGATTTGCCGAGAGACTCCTCTGTTCTGTGTGTTTATTACTATAAGAAATCAAAATATCTCTTAACTGCATTACCAGGATTAGGCATAAGGGCAGAGAGTTAGGATTGTCCACTCCAGGTTTCGCGGACAAGAAACTTTTGTTCACTAAAAACTGATTACATGTTTCGGCGCGAACATTTTTCAAGATTTTACTCAAATAATGTTCATCATTCCTAAAGAACCAATCGAAAAATGCAATTTATTACATGAATTCAGAAGCTCAATATTCTCACATTTAGCACCAAACCTAAATAAACATATATTGAGGACTTAGTAACACTTGATGGTTATTTTTTGCAGCTCGGAAATTACAAACGTGTGCAGCTTAAACTCTTCACCTGCACTGACATGATTAACTTGACCAGTTTTCATCAGTTTCATCAATTACTGTAAATGAAATAAAGAAGTAAAATGTCTATGGCCATAAAGTCACTGTTCTGAAGTCACTTAATACACTGTAACTAAATGCATAGTTATTCGGAGAATGTAGCATTTCTTAACAGGCATAGACTACCCTGGATTGTGATGCATCAAAAAATGGCTAGTATAAATGTTTAAAGGATTTAAAAGAACGACACAATTACTATGACAAGTGGCGAATACGGGCTTAAAATGGCTTAAGTAAAAAACTGACCATACACAATAAACTAGGTATAATCAGTAAGTCAATATGCTTCTTCGAATACCTTTTTAATAATACATTATCCGATTAAACTTTTCATTTAAAAAGTGTATTTATAAGCACAATAATAATTCTTTTTTGCAAATCAGTTAAGAAACTTACTTCTTTTGAGATTGGTTTCATGCGGACAAGTATGCATGCCGCTAACTGCAATGCTGCTAATATTGAACCCATTACCAAGAAAACATTTGGGACTCTATCAAGAAGCTCGGGATCAGTGAAACGCCTAAAAAGATGAAAATTATAATTCAACACTTTCGCTTAGATAAGCACTAGTAATAAATAAATAGTTAAGTACTCTTTCTCCCAAAATATATCTCGGAAATTAAAAGCTCTAATTATTAAAACGCGTTGTACGATGTAATAGAAAAATGTTCAGGATTATTTTAGACCCTTAAAAGAAGGCTGTAAATATGGGTGACATAGTGAAGTTAAAATGCGTTTCTAGCCTGCTTGTGGGGGTTGAAACTTTATGATAGTCGTATTAGCTCGCTTGATAGTCGCAGGAAACTGTACACCGAATGCAAATTATTTGTGTCAATACAATAATAAAGTGTTTCGCAGAAAAACAAACACTCGTTTACCTTCATAAACGATTACCAAATCTGAAAAACTTACGCTTAGACAACACTTCTACAGTTTAATTTAATAATACAATGAAATGTATAATTCAACGTGGTTAAAACTGACAGCATATCCTTACCCAGTAGGTTATGATACATCATCATGTTTACCAGTTAACAATCTGAGTTTTACCAATTAAAATGTGAACGTCTGTTTCAAAATATTTCTGGTGGTTATTATTACACGTTTTACAACTCTGGCTGATTATATAAGCTTTATAAAGAATTGATTTATATTCACTGACTACCTTTCTATGGTATTTCTATACTTACTTGACGTGGAAACAGTTAGAAATTTTCTAGTTTCGACGTTTTATTTACTTTTCACTATATTTCCTCATCACAATGACTATTTTATATTAACGCCGGTTAGCTAGTTATATAAGACTCGTTTTTATGGAAAATGTTTTTCAGAGCAAAGAAACATTTTTAGATAACCAGAAGAAGTTATTTGAAAAAAGTAAAATAGAAAATCACGTTTGCTGTTGTACAGGAGATTCAAGGTTTTCAGAGAGTCTTTATTGTGTAAAATAATACTAATGGTTTCACTAGAATGGTATCTACCGGGAAAACGACAAACTTGAGTCAAATGGTAAATATCGTTACTTTTAAAGAGTTTTCTCTATATTACGAAGGAGAGATAATAGACAATCAAGCTTTTAACGATTACAAATCCAAAACAATTTTTTATTCATAAAATATCACTTTACTTAATGCAGCGAACGGACTAGATTGCCAATACAGATGCGTTAATGACTGATTAAACACTATTATTTTGACCTATAACTTTCTGAGAAAACTTTGGTACTAAACGAACAATGACTAGAATGTACTAAATAAAAACTAGAAGATGCAACAGTTGCTTTTCTTCATAATGCTAACAATTTCTTTACCTTGTTTGACTATCCACCTTTAAGTTAGATGGGTTGATATATGCAGTTTGAATTGGTGTGAAAATTAGGGAGCCCAATCCAAATCCACCAACAATTATACCAACAATTAATCCTCTTCTTCCAGGAAACCACTAAGGATAAAAAACCAAACAATGTTTTGATAAGCACGAATAAACTAAAAATTAAAAAAATTTACATTATAGTGATTAAAATTACATTGTAACCGTGGTGTTTCCGCTTTCAAACAAACTAAGTAGAACGTAGAGCTTAACTTCGTACTTTGGAATTGGTTTTGAGTATACACAGTATATTGTGCATTAGAAAAATATAGATCTACAAATGATTTGTTTATATTGACAAGTTTGTTTAAACATAAAGAACTTCAGGTTACTGTAAAGTCTTCAAACTAAACACATTAAATTCACTTGGTATTGTTTGCTTGTATCTTCCCAATGTTATTTAGGACTGCAATCGATCAGTCTCTTGTTGGCATATGTGAATATTGTGTGGACTTCCTCGATATTGCTTTAAGTCACAAGCTTTTATAAGCAAAGATGGAAAGTGGCTAGTAGTGAACTCCAGGACGCGCACTTCGTCCTATTTGGGACTCGTCATCTGGATGTAGGTACACATTAAACCAATACATTTACACATACCTACTGATTATCGAAATTTTTTCACCATAGTTGTGAAAAAAATATAACCAATCTTCGTAGTCAAGATAACTAGGACCATTTGAAACATATAGATAATATATCGTTCAACTTTCAAATAATAATTAAAAATACCTATTCTTTGCTATTCTTGGATATGCATTTAGAATCTAAAGGATGTGGACACAAAATAATGACTCTTTGTTCAGTATGTCATGGTATTTGATCATTGAACTATACCGAATGTATAGTGTCTTCAGCTTCTTGAAACTTGTTATGCTATTTCAAAAACGTTTACACTTATACCGGTACAAAGTTTGTTTTTTCAGAAGATTCCTACAATTTTTAGTGTTTCATGTTTATATATGTAGAAATTATGATATCTAGATATATATAACTGATCTGAGACTATTCCAAAAGCAATAAAAAATATTTACAAAAGGCGGAATCATACACAAACTAATTAGTTAACCACTTAGATTTTTTGATTAAAACTGTGCTGATAAATGCCGAAAACAAGTTATTTAAGATGTTTTCAATATTAAAAATTTCGAGCTCTGGAGATGTACCAGGGCACTGATTCTAATTATAATTGCTCAATTCGATTAGAATTCAAGTGTTCATTCACGTAAATTGCCGTTGTAATCCTTTGGTTTAATTACCAGAAAATGAATTAGCATGAAGAGTTAAGCAATTTGGTAGGCTAACAAATTCTAAGAAGTTACAGTATTTCCTCAAACCCAAATCCAAAACGCTGTATAAATGGCAATCAAATAATGCTCTGTAGACAGAGTGACAATACATCAAGTATTGACAGAGACATATCCGTAATGCGAATCTCAGACCAAAGTTACAAAATGTCGACTTGATAATTTATTGTTTGGCTGTATATACAATAATGAGCTAAGCACATTTTACGGTGAAAAGAAAACATTATATTTACATTCGATTAAGAATGGCATAAATTCAAAACAAATTAAGAGCTTAATATTTAGGATTCATCAAAACATTCATGCTTACAGAGACTGCACAAGCTATTGCGACGGAATAACCAATTCCCATCGACAGTCCAAACATTATACCAACAGTAAAAACTACACCAATAAACGTTTTCTGTACAACAATATATGTTAACAGAATGCTTCCACTAAACAAATAACGAAAATATAGAGTGCCATGATTGATATGCAGTAAAGTTTTGGTGTGCTTCAACGTATACATATTATAACAATTATAACAATTTTCTAAAAATTTAGAATAGACAATGATGGAATGAACAATAATCTTTCAAAAAAATAGATACAAATACTCTCCAAAGTCAAGGCCTAAAATAACTGTCTGGAGGTTTGATCGGTTATAACTACTGTTATTACTCTAAGATTTGACTGAAAAACTTCTCAACGCGCCAATTAAGAGTGACTACTCGAACTAGTGCAAGCATGCGCCAGGTTCTACATTGCGTACGTCTAACTGAATGTCTAATTACCAACCTACAGTCTGGAAGTAAAGGTTGAGCCAACAATTTCATCTGGATGTTATTATCGTTTGGTAAAAACGGCTGCATACGAAGATAAACAGCTTTATTGCCTAGAAGCATAACGTAACAAAATATAATATCGGTCTACTGAGTAGTTCAGGTTAAGTTTGAAACGTTCATACATGTAATTATTTATGGAGATCTGATAGATGTTTCTTAGCATTAAAACTATTTGGTTTTGTTTAATAAACGTTTCAGAACTTTTAAATGACTTCAGGGTTTTGTCTCTTCAAGATTTCTACTCATCAGATATGTATAAGTCATATTAAATCAACCGTCATTTTCAATGAAAAATGATAATTATACAACATTCTGCATTGAGATTGAAAATATTCAGTGAACGCGCTTGAGCACTTTAAGATAAATTTTGACGTAAACCACTTGAGAGAAAAATCAATTTCTTACTAACATTTTTTTAAAGTTGAGTTCACGTCAATCTAAAAGTGCTCCGAAAAAATTAGTAACATATATTTCCTCACTGGAAGTAAAATAACGCAAAAATATGCTTTACAAAAGTTTATGTAAAAAAGGTAGTGTTGACATTGTGAATATATTACCTTCCGAGAATCAACGTGGCAATCATTGTTGATTTAGGTCCGAATTTCTTTCCCATAAACCCACCTATTGGCATAGCCATACCCTGACATCCAAGACCAAGTGCAGATAACCATACAGCTGAGCTATCACTGATGTTTTTGTCAACTCTTGCTGCTATGTATGACATTATGTATGTTGCCATGTTTGCTAACAAAGAAATAGTGACGATAATCTTAAACTTACAAACAGTATAAAAATGTCCACAACTGAAATGAAGACAAAACGCACCTATGACCACAAGTATTCCATATAGCAAGTCTTTCTTTTCTTTCTTCTATAATTAAAATAATAAGAGCTATCATATCTACTCACCATTCTAGTGAGCAACAGTAACTTATGAAACGTTTGAGTATCTGCCTCAAAAACAAACTGTATCAGACGATAAGGTAAAACAATACTTCCGAAGAGTAGTTATTGGACACACATTTCTATGAATCTAATCAAAAAAATGTAATATATTATTTTAATATACTTCAAAAAAAATAAAGCAAGCATATCAAGTTACTCTAGCCTCATTTAATCGAGTATGCTTGCTATTGTTCCATACTTAATTTCATACTAGTTTTCAACAGAAATGCTGAATCTGACCTGTTAGTACAAGAAGTACTGTGAAAGATATATATATATATAGTGAATACAAACTCGTTTGGTTTCTTAGTATTTTTGCCCGAATATCACTTTTAAAAGCACTAATGCAACAATTAGCGCAAAAATAAAGTAAATATAAATGATATTCTGTCCATTAAACATTGCGTGGGCGATTTAAGAATCTCACGATTCTCCACATAGAAGAGTATGTACAACACATCATACTGTCTTCATACTGGCACTACACCTAATAAACGATTATTGATACTGCAATTTCTTTTTTAAACAGTAGGCAGACTAACACAAGAATTGTTTGTAAGTGTATTCAGTATTTATCTAAAATACAGTTTGGTAAATTCACATTCCATACACCATTATCTTACGAAAAGTATCATTGGGGTGAACCTCGGTGGTCCGGGGTGCAGGCTTCAAACCTGTAGCCGACTAGCGTAGGAGCGGTACGATTCCGCCTTCCTGATCCAAAGACGCGCGCTAATTAAAAAGGACAGTGGTATTTTCCCTCGCTGAGTAAATTTCATTGTTTTGATCGCTTATTACTTATCAAGACTACTGTTTTCACTTTAACTGAATTCATTTCAATCAAGGTATTCGACTATAGTACCCTTTCGACCATTCTCTCAATTAGTTTTATCGTTGGTACTCTTGAGTACCTCACTTTCAACTGTATCTGTTAGTACTTTTGGTCCTAACAATCTACAGTTCTTCACTTTTTGTTCATTGATTAGTTTTTTGTTTCTGAGCATCATCGCATCTCGTTCCTTTTTGAAAAGGACTCCTTTTAAATGACCGGACAGTAAAAAAACAGTTGCCAACGTCCGGGATGTCGTTATCCCGTTAAAAGCGGCATGCAGCGCGACGAGTGCAAAGGCTGGTACCACGAAGGTTCCATGAACTTAACTCCTGCGACTTTCAAACGCTTCAGTAAGAAGGGTTGCGTAAGGCCTTGTCAACAGTGCTGTTCGGATGCAAACAACCTGTTAATCGAGGCCATCTCACTGGTTGATGCTGCAAAGAAGTGTTTTAGCAAGCATAGTCGAAACACGTCAGACAGTACTCGATCTGTCGACACGCAAATTGATATGAATCAAACTCGGGTGAGTTTGAAAATAGATGACTCATACTGATCAAAGAAGGAAAAGCAGTCTCCAAAGAGGTCTGTATCAAACAAAAGCTCAGCATTAAACGCCTGGAAGACTCAGTCGTAAGGCTCTCTCGGTTTCTAGCGGGAAACATAACCTGACCTCCCAGGTAGTCCACAACCCTCCGGGATTCAACAGTAGGTTTGACGCATCTGTTGTTGCTTCTCTTAGCACCATTGACCAATTGGTATAGGTTGTAAGAAAGAAACAACGTACCGATATAAAAGGGAATTTTGCACCCGTAAAAGTAGTCGAAAAATCGAAAGCTGATCACAGTGACAGATCAGTTATTTTTCATAAAATAAAGAGGGTGAGAGTTCTGAACCGAAAGCTCGTTTTGAGCATGACATTGTGCTGATTAAACAGCTGCTTAATCAACTCACGCCTCAAAATATCACCGTGGTCACCTTGCTAAAGGTGTACAGACTAGGGAGTCTAGCGAACTTGAAACCGAATCAATCCAGACTGCTTAAAGTAGTATTCGAATCTTCAAAGAAACGCGACTTAATTTTACAGAATGGACATAAATTAAAGGGTTCAGGAATTTTTATCCGTAAGGACTTACCATTGGCAGACCGTGTAAAAAGGACGGGAAGCCGAAAAAGAACTACAACTGAGGTTAGACGCTGGCGAAAAGGACCTGAAAATTGTAAATTTTCGGGTTGTAAGGCTTCGACCGAGAGCGATGCTGAAGCCACTCTGAGTGAAGCATGAAGCCACTTAAATAGGCTTCGGATCTGTTGCACTAATGCCGAAGCTTACTTAATAAGCGATCGGAACTAGGTGTACAGATTGACTCTACAAAGTCAGACATAATCGCAGTAACAGAAACCTGGCCGACACAGGCTGTAGATAGCATGGAACTTGATTTCGAGGATTTTACGGTAGTAAGGGCCGACAGAATACAAAAGCGTGAAGGAGGGGGAATAGCCCTATTCATTAGGAATGCTATTCCATTCGCCATTATCGGTAGTGTATCGCATGAAAGTGAGACGTGTGAACTAGTTAGTTGCCGCTTGAAATGCAAGAAACAAGAGCTGCTGATTGGTTTGGTCCATCGCAGTCCAAGCTGTGAGGTAAATGAGATCCTGTTACGCAGTCTCAGTACTTGGTCACAAAGTGGTCGATGTATAATCCTAGGGGACTTTAATGCAGAAAATCCTTTCGAGCAGGAACTAGTTGATGCGGTTATCACATATGCCCTAGTGAAACATGTGCAAGAAGAGACAAGGTACAACCCGGACACTGAACTATCCTTGCTAGGTCTTATACTGACTCACTATGAGGATGACATTGCGAACCTCTATCATATGCCACTCCTAGGTAAAGGTGATCACGCAGTTTTAACTTTCGACTTCCATATAACTGTCAGTCACGAGCACGCGGCAGTCCAATCCAGACCTAACGTCTGGAAAGCAAACACACCAGATATCATGCACTCAGCATCGTTAGTAGATTGGCAAATAAACCCAGATTCCTCAATTGAAACGGCCGGGGACGCATTTCGGAATTCATACTTAAAAGTTACCGCGCCCCACACCCCTTGGATTATAGCAAGGAGTCCGAGAAACTCCCCACCATGGTTCAGTAGGGAGGTCCGCATCCTCCTCCGTAAGAGAAGAAAAATGTAGGAGATATTTAGGTTACTGTGGTTTGATGAGACAAAATCTCAGTATCGAAAATCTCGGAATACCTGTGCCTCGACCCTCCGTAAGTCTGGAAAGTTGTACGAAGAGGAAATTGTTAAGGAATCCATAGAATGTCCAAGACGTTTGTATTCCTGTATAAACCAAAGGACAAAGAGAAGAGAAAATATTCCCGCTCTATGGGGAGACAGCACTGCTGCATCATTAGTGGAGGATGACTTCGGTAAGGCTCAAGCGTCCTCGAATTACTTTAGCAATGTATATACCATAGAAGCACCCTTCCCGTCAGTATATATAGATCCCTTCACACATATACTGAATAGCGTGACCATTAAAGAACTCGATGTCTTTGGTCTACTAAATGGGCTTGACATAGGTAAATCCACAGGGCCTGATGAATTACATGTCTTACATGTCTTCAAAACAGGTACGAAACACAAACCTGAGAATTACCGACACGTTAGCCTAACTAGTGTGGTTGTTAAATTCTTAGAAAAGATTATTCGGAAGGAGCTGTTTAAGTACCTCAATGAAAACTGGATCCTTTCGGAGAAGTAGCACGGTTTCAGAATAGGTTACTCTTGTCTCACTAACTTGTTAGTGGCTTGTGAACGCTGGTGTGCTCTTAAGGACCAAAAGTCACCTGTAGACGTAACCTTCATTGATTTCAGCAAAGCTTTTGACAAAGTTCCGCACAACCGGCTCTTATATAAGTTAAGAAATGTCGGGATTAGAGGCAATCCATTTATGTGGATAAAAGACTTCTTAGTTGAGCGCCAAAAAAGAGTAAGGGTTAACTCAAAGTTATCTAGCTGGGAAACTGTGCTTAGTGGATTGCCCCAGGGTACAGTTTTGGGGCCGGTTCTATTCCTTTTGTAAGTAAATGGCCTTCCTCGTCTACTATCATCATCGGTTTTGCTATATGCTGACGATGTCAAAATAAGGAGTACGATACGTTGTAAGGGTGATAGCTTAGAACTACAAAGTGACCTGAAGAAATTATCGGAATGGTCTCAAACCTGGCAGTTGCCGATAATTACTTACAAGTGTGTTGTTATGCATATAGGTCATCAAGGCACAGATAAATACACGATGAATAACACTGAGCTACCTGTCGTCCAGGCATACAATGACTTAGGTGTCGTCGTTGGCCAAGACCTAAAGACTACTGCACATTGCCGCGCAATAGCCGCCAAAGGTTTCAGAACCTTGTGGTCAATACGTAGGGCTGTTAGTCATGTCGACGCTAAGACGTTTTGGACTTTATAAACAGTGTTCGTACGTCCTGAACTTGAGTGATGCATACAAGCGGCTATCCCCTGCTTAAAAAAGACAGTGAGTTCCTGGAAAAGGTTCAGAGAACGGCAACTAAGCTGATTCCCTGAAAAACGAAGCTTCAGTATGAAGCTCGACTGGCCAAGCTGCACCTTTTCCCGTTGTCATATCGCAGAACTAGAGGCGACTTGATAACAGTTTTCAAATTGTTAGTGATATATTTGCACCTGATATGCCTTCATTCTTCTTGTCTTCCAAAACAGAGAATTTACTAGGACACTTCACCAATGTTCACAAGCCCAGAACAAATTACTTGTCAGCTGACTACCGACTTTCTCATCGAATCATCAACGAGTGGAATTCATTACCTCAGCACGTGGTTGGGGCTCCATCCGTCGACTCTTTCAAAAGAAAGTTGAATCAACTGAGACCACCACTGCCAGGACTAACACATGCCATCAAGCCTCCCATCCTTCCCAAACTGAAACTGATTCTTCTGGATCTCATTGAAATTAAGGAAATCAAGAAGGTACCTGAAATACAAAAAAAAGTTAAACTATCCTAGAAGCTCTTAACTCTCAAACTGTGCATCATGGTAGGATAACTTGGGAAGGAAACCTGAGATATCATGTCACTTATAACCTTTCTTATGCCAACGGATCACCATCAAGTTTTAGTACTAAGTTACACTTAAA